ACTGACTCAAAGACTCCAGTAGATGCTATTTGAATATTGTGATGAAAACAATGTCCCTGTATATCGACTTTAGTTTGGGGGACGTTGTTGTACGGAACTTTTTAGTTCAGTGGTTCCCAACCTTTTTGCCCCGACGATGATTCAAAAAAACGGGGAGCGCTCAGACCACGATGTAGAAGTCTCTGAGATTCTAAATAATTACGGAACGCCGAGTTCCTAGGTAAAACATAGAAAGACTTGATAGGCAGTAAGTTAGGATAGGATAGGATTTACATATTTATCCCGGGGGAGAGGAAAGACGGCTTATCCATATAAGACGGCTTATCCATATGGCGAACCACGGCCTCTCGTCCGGTTACCATTCCAAGTCGGGTATGAGATTAGTTATATTGTTTGTTTTCGGAGGCATGGACTTGGTGGTGGAGGAAGCCGTAACCGACCAGCGGTTACGTGAACCACTCAACGACGGCGAGGAGTCCAGCAATCCTCTCGCACATAACCATTCCTGCATGGGATTCGAACCCACGCAGAGTAATTAGAGGTGCGGTGGCGAGCGTATTCCTAACGCTTAGCCCGTTGAGCCACACCGCCGCGCTAAGGTAGCATACGGATTGCTTCCAAATATGGAATAATTTACAAATTAGTAAAGCATTTCTTGTTTATTTCGATGTTAAAATAATACAAATTGCTCCATAATTAATTCGAAAGCAAAACAGAACATGAAAGTAAAATAGGTAAAAACAACATGAAGTGCCTTTTATTTTGCTTGATTTCTTGTCGTTTTGTTCTCGATTGCACAAACTGCTTCGAAATTGTGTATGAAATTCAACTCGCTTCATACTTTTTTAGGAAGATTATTCAGATGTTCAAATACCATAGTATGGCAATACAGTACTAGGATTTGTTCACTTTTATACGGAGACGATGTGGACAAACTCGCTTCATACTTTTGTTTTTTAGGAATATTATTTAGATGTCTAAATACCATAATATTGCGATACTAGAATTTGTTCACTTTTATACGGAGACGATGTGTAGACACATGCGAGAATTAACATAGACTGGTAGTGAAATAACAAAACAATTGACATAATTTATTGCAGACCCGCAAAATTCTGGTTTGTAGGCCAGCGGTTTGGGTCACAGGTTAAGCCTGCAAGGTGATCATGGAAATATCAAGGCTAAGGTCAATTATATACTTATATAGCCTACATATATATACATATGCGGATGTAACATGATAGGAAAATATATAACAGGGAAGTATTATTGTCGATCGTAACACTGTCACTCAATTGTATTTATTAATATCCAAACCGGAACTAATTTCACATTCTAACTTTTAAATCCCAGTTACTTGTGTGCGCATGTTAAATAGAAGTTAGGCGATCCCGGAGAACCCCACGCTAGGTCGCGACCCATAGTTTGAAAACCGCTGCCTTAGGCTATATCATTTGAGAGGCCATTTTACTAATGAAGCTTTAATGCTTGAAAGCCCCTAGCCTGCCTAGCCTATGCCATTTCGAAAGGCCCCCATTCAACAATGACGCAAAGGCGAAACTAAAATTTTTATAGGGTGTCAAAATTGGAATGTCCTTCTAAAGCAGGGGTTCTCAACCCTCCTGTTAAGCACCCCCTAGTTATGAAACAATCAACCTGTACCCCTAGTAATCAGACACCAAATAAAGTTGTGATATATTGACTAACAATTTGCTATACCAACAATTTATTGACCAACTACTGTAATTAAATTAAATCGTCGTGTTGATATTATTACCCTTGTCCTAACTATTGAGTTATTAAAATCTCTCTCTTAAGATTCAATCAGCATATATATCACTTTCCGCAAAGCTTGCAGCAATATAAAGCTTCATAATGAGGAAAACCAGACATTTTCAACAAAATATTAAACTAATAACTCCACGCTGTTTACAGGATTTAAATGAAACGTCTGTCGTAATTCTAGGTTGAAACCAAATAATAAATATCGCTCGCAGAAATTCGATAATGCGCTTTAAGCGTCAGGGAACACAAATTGTTATCCAGTTTTTTCGTCTATTATGATGTGAAATATCATGAGCGATCTTGAATCCGGGGTCTGTTAGAACAGATGTCGGCCCATTGACCCAGAACACTGTATATATGTGCTGTAAAACACATGTGTAGTTTAGGATGATGACCGCAAAATGTTTGGTTAATTTTAAATTTTGATTCATCTCATTCTCAAACGTGGTTGCGTTTTGTTCGGCACGACAGAGGAACAATATGGTAACTTCATTATAATTTTTTATTTTGAGTAAGGGCGACGAATGTATGACCATGAATTTTCTTTGCACAAATTGCGTCAAAATTTAGATTTATTAATAAAATTTGTCATTTTAATTCATTAGACGCAGAAAGATTAATTCATCACCAGCAAAACAAACAACTGCAAATATCACGTCAACCATCTTGATAAAAATTCATTTGCTAAAGCAAATTCAACTTGTAGCAGTCTTGGAGGTGCGATAGCAATGATGAAAACAGAAGAAATTCAGGACTTAGTTGAAAGTCAGATAAGAACTCAGTACGGAGCCTCCTCTCCAATATCAATTGGGTTTTGAATTGGTGGGTACACAGTTAATAGGAAAGGGTTGTGGGTTGATGGTACAGACGTGCCAACAACAGGATAAGCTGCGAAATGAGCAGGAAACCACCACACTTACACGGGCAGTATGATGCTTTGTTCGTATTACAGCAAAAGAAAAGACATGAAATGATATGATAAATCGATCACATCAAAGCACGGCACAATGCTAGGCGCAAAACTGAGTGTTTGCACTTTGTTGAGCATATATTGTTTGAAATATCTCTATAAATATCACTGGAATGATAAACAATGGGGCCTTGATTTTTACCTTCTTTTGTGCGCATGGCGGAAAATGCCACTTCTTCAAAATTGGATCATTTTCAAATGTGATATTTTAAAATATGAGTGCCTGTGTATATTTTAAATAACGTCTCAACGTTATTAATTTGAATTTTCACAGTCGTTGACAGATGTTTGCTATTCCATGTAATAATTCGGGAACTTGCATACAAATTGGCTAGCAAAGAAAGTGCGAATGCACGTGGGGTTATACGGGAGACAATTGTGAAAATAGCAAGTTTCATCTTTATTTTTCTCAAATGATTTCAAAATACCAAGCTTAGATCATTAAATTATAACTATTTTCCGCCAGTACCAGCCAGTTTGCCATTGGTTCTACTTAGACTCTCATTTGGAACAATTGGAATTAAAAGTAAATTACTCATTTACGTTCATAGAAATATAAATTCTGTGCCATGCTACTGAATCTTAAACAGCCAAAAGCCTTAATCTTGATATAACTCCTAAATATTAAAAAGATGGCGAGAATTTACCGAATAGTTTGAATAATAAAAAATTGTAAGAGTATACTCACGTGTCAACGCAGCATTGCTGAATCTTGAATTGATAAATGATATTGTGTTAAATGCAGGAGTTTCACAGATTTCTTGCTTCCAGTCTAGAATTTCAATTAAGTGGAATCGAGAAAATCACAAGATGGGAAGGGTGTATAAACTTCATTTGGAGGTGATTGGTTATTTTATATTTGAAAATATCATTCTTTAATATTTTATGTTGACCATTTTAAAAATTTAAATCGAGAAATTCTGAAAGTATTTTGTTATTCGATTGAATACAGTTCTTGTCAAAATTATTTAATACGCGCTTATCTTTTTTTTACGCATGTTTCTGGGATAATCTTTAATAATGAACTTCACATTTGCAAAAAAAAATATGAGCTTAAAATTGCAAAATAACTGATCAAAAAAAGTCCATAAATATTACAGACTTCATTGACAGCGACAAACACGCAAGAATCATAATTGCCGTAGAAGCAATATTAGTTATATCCTTTACACAAGATTTGATGTCTAATACGAGCGAAGCAACAAACGTGCAAATCCTGCTGACTGATGAAGCATCAATAAATATCGGGAATGTGTCCGAACCGACACCAATTCACTGCGTCTCAAGCACCCGTCTTTCCATTTCACTCAATAAATACATCCGAGTGGATCTTTAGGTAGCTCGGATCAGAATGTCTTTGAAATCCGTTGCTAAAGTTTATTACATCTTTGATGAATCAAAGTTCAAACTAGAATTTGTTGACTTGTCGTAAACGTAAATTGAAAAACATACTTGTGTATATACAAATATGATTTCTTTTATATGAATAAGTTAAAGATTATTTTGCCTTGAAATACCGTTTTGTTGATTTCGTGATATAATATAACGAACTAAATGATTTTTTTCTGTACTCCAGAAAGTGTGTTTCATTTTAGCATGCATCATCATTCAATAAAAGTTATACAAATAGATGATGCATGTGTAATGATATGTATTTTGCCTATATTTAAACGTTCAAAGTAGATATTTTATTTATCGCTATACAACGGATAAACTCCATCAGTGCGGAGACAAATGAACATTTTACTCTAGAATTTTAAGGCATACATTATGACATCATTTGATCGTTTTTCATTTTGTAACTTTTTAAATTGGTAATTATTCAGGACATGAAATGAAACCTAAATCAGTTTTCTAAAAGTTCAAACTAGTTTTATTCTGGAACAAACCTTTAAATTTAATAAACGAATGAAAATGAATAATAGTTCAAAATTATCGTCTGGGCTTTCGCCTATCTTGTCCAATGGTGAATCCAGCTTTGCACGTGTCCGAATGGAGTAAATGGTTTTCAAATTCAGTAAGTTTCGCACCTCTGATTTTCATTTCCATCCCTTTTTGGGTCTATGTTTTCGCTCCCTCGCTACCAGTATGTTGCAATTTATATATATATATAAATATATATTCCAGAATAAAAGAAATATTCTAAAAATAAAACTCGTGAATTACATGATCATGCTTTCATTTGTGACGTAATAAACAGTGTCACGGCGATATCTGGGTAAATCATTAAAATTCGATATTTTATTTCATCTACTTATCTGAGCCATAAAGTTTCGAAAATGAAAATAAAATCTCAAGTTCTGAATTTTATCCATCTGGATCGTTCATTCAGTTTGTTAACAGTGAAAAACACCCGACTGGTTCTAGCCTATTTCAATGCTCTCGATGTTCACGGACACGGGAAATTAAATGGTAAGTTGTGTGTAATTTTCATGTTGTAACGTTACAAATTCAAGTTATAGCTATGGAACAAAAACAATACGTTGCTTGGTAACTGGTGTTTTTATTTCCGTAACTTTTCAGAGAAATTTGACACTGCGCTGCGATTAGGTAGACATGATTAGTGAATTAATTTTACTGAGTATCTCATTTCTACATGACGCCCATTTCCCCTCTTCTATTTTACAATATCTACTAGCTGAAAATGGGGTGCTCTAGAAGTTTATGTACCAATATGGAGGTAACTAATTTTGTTCGCCTACATTACATCAAGTTGCGTTAGGGGACTGAAACCTATGGGCAGGGGGTATATTCACTTGGCTTAGTTGGCTAACACAGACAGTCTCCGAACTCGTAATAGAACTAAAATAGGGGAGATGGGAATAAAATTATTGCCTAACCCTAACCTGGTACCCACATTACTGGAGTACCGGCACATCATTTGATTTGTTACAGATTTCAATTTATGAGACGCCACAGTACATACTGCTATATTCGTATATACAAATTGTTTATCTTTCATACAGTTCATTTAATTCTTGATTTTCTGTTGTTTCTCGATATATTCCCAGACATTCAGTTCTATCAGTTTATGAAGAAAGTGACAAATCTTAACAAACAACAAATATTTCTGGTTCTGGATATGCTCGATCAAACCGCCACCGGGTATATTCGGTTTCAAGAGTTCTACCTACTTGCTTGCATTCTCATATCTCTGAAGGTATTGTTCTAACAACTGATAACAAATTAATAATAAAACTTTTCAAAGCCACAAACATATTGTATCTCAACTGATTACTTGAACAGTCGACCATTTACAAACAGATTTTTCTAGTAGACTACAATTAATCTTTGATGCAACAATAATAGTGAGAATGTTAAATTGCGCTTGTTTTTATAAAAATTATCAAAACTTTCACATCTTTCCAGTCCCAGTCAGTTCAAAATATATATCTTGAATCGGGATATTCTGGATATATGTTGCGAGATACTGAAAGTTTAGATTTCGAATATCGGGGGTAGGCAAGGTTTTTGGATCAAGGGCTAACAAATTTGCCCACCTAAACTGGCGGGCCATGTAAGTGTGACGTAAAACGTTTTAAATCGCAATTTCAACATATTCCTTGACCTATTTTTAGCTAAAACATCAAAATTTGGATTTAGTTTGGTTGTGGCAGCATCAGGCCGACCAGATTGAATTACCCAACGGGCCGGATTTCATGTCAGGTTTAGATACTTCTGTCCAGAATTTAATTGACTTGCTTGAATTGCAGGATCGCGTTGAAAAGCAATTCATATTCCGGCATTCAAAATTAGTATTTGAAATGATGGACGAAGATGGCGGTGGCACAATATCAGCTGATGAATTTGGACACTATGGATTTTTGTTCAATCTTAAAGATCATTCAGTGCGCGATATTTTTTTCGAATTTGATGTGTCAGGAGACGAGGTAGGGAACGAAACTTGGATGATTTAGTCAACGTATGGATTGCCTTCACTTAACGTATGAAACAATATTATTTCAGGAACTTGATTACAAAGAATTCAAGATGTTTGCAATGGCTTGTATTGATAAACAACGTGAATTAGATGAAAAGAAAAAAGAACGAATGATGCGTGGAATTGGTGGATTGGATTCAGAAGCTGATTTTGATTGAAAATATTATATTAAATGCACGTTGACCTATTTTCAGCCTAAAATTATGGAATATTGACAGTGGACTGCTATTCAACCATGAGGCCCCATGTAATAAAAGCGGAAATAGATTCATTGCTTGCAATTTAATGAAGAAGCTATAGAAGACCAGTAAAAATGAACTCTTCTCTCTTATTGTCTATCTGTGCCCAATTAAGTAAGTGTTTTCCCCAAGAAACTGTTTTGTTTCAAGACGTTTATACTTTTATCTGAAATATAAATTACACTAAACTGAATATGCAGCAGAATTGTGGCATTATTTTTTCCCTGTACTTCCAGGCTACAAAACCATTGAATATACAGGCCTCAATTTTAAAGTCTTTATATGATAGATGTATTGTTGTCATGTGAATCAATTATCACATAAAAACGACTGAAACAAACCGAGTTGGATTCTAAGTAATTCTTTATTGGGATGATAAGGTCGATTATTAAACACTGACGTCATATCCCAAAATGGCAAATAGTTTACACCGTGAGATTCCCCAAATATGTGACGTAATAATACATCATGTCTATAACTTAGCCAATCAGACGGGCATATTCTCGTGGACTGGGAATGTACATGATGACCTTTAACAAATACGCGCACTTTTGGAGATCTACTTTGTAATCTTTCAATGGCCAACTTGATCCCACGGATTCGATGTAAATATATATCTGGATTAAATAGATCCATATGAAGACCGATTGAAAATAGAACAATCATTTTATCTGAATTAGCCGGAATATCATCCATTGTATCAGTAATATAAGGCCTGACTTTTAATGTTCTTGGATTATGCAATGGGGGACCATGCGCTCTATAATGCAAAGTGATATTGGATCTCTTTATCACACCATTTCGAGCCTGAGCCCAAATTGACGGACCGTCCGTAGCGTGGTCTGTACCCTTCAGCTCCGTGATCGTAAAATTATACCAATGTCGTACAGTGGAATCTCCAATGAAATATACAGTATGATTTCGGAGACAGTCTTCGAGATTTGTTACGTTGAATAAAGTGTTATTGCATAGGAAAGACCTCCATTGTCCATCGTCAAGCCAGCCAGTGGCACTCATTGGCTCTTTAGAAAAAGGGGCGGTTCGCGCTACGTTGCAACGTTTAGAAAGATTGTGAGATTTGGTTATTTTCGGAATCGGCTTTCCCGCGTTGTTTTGTGCCTTTTCCGTAATATATATCCATTTATTGGGTCCTCGAACCCTCGTCCGTAGATTTATACCGATTTTAAATAAGGGTTTATTTCCCTGTATTTGATTGTCTTCATCTTCATCATAATAGCGATCCATCCATTCAATTGGCGGGCATTCATGTGAAGTTGTTTTAACACAAAACCATGGCTCGCCGTTTCGTGGATTTGAATGATTACATATTTGATTTGAGCTGGAAAATGAACATTATATGAGAGCTAATGATGCATGTAAATGAATGTAATTTATTTTGTTTAAAAAACTTACCTTAATTTGTCGCTGAAATCAAAACCACACTCGACTAGTTCTTGCTTGTTCGTAAAGGAATTATTCACAGTTGCTTTCAAAGATACACCAAGTTCGCGCGATCCTGATGAATTTAACATCAACGCCAGCAAACTTTCGCTTGGGTGTATAAGTTTCACAGATAATCTGGCTTTCCCAATCCATGGCAATGGACATAAAATAACGTAGGTTCCATTCAGTTTGTCAACTATATCACAAGCAACACCCGCTAATGGTTCGAAAGTACGATATAAAGTTGCACGAAAAAAATCGCCTCCATACCATTTTGTTCCGTTATTATAATTCCTAGCCTGAATGATAGCCTTTAGAGTCTCGCCAATTTGGTAATCTGTCTTATCATTAAATAATGTAATTGTTGACAAATTCGCACAAGTTGTATCTTCCAATAATGAAAATGTTTTTATTGTTTGTAACTTTGATACCATATCAAAAACACGGGGAAAGTATTTTATCCATTTGCTTGACTGTATCTTTTGCTTTATGTCAGAGTGTTCTGGTTTCCATTGTTCGAAAGTTGGACCATGTTTGCGCCACCTTGAATGAACGCCACGACTTTTCGTTACGTGATAAAGTACTCCGATCACTTGCAGTATTGTCAAAATAATCAAATATTTAATATATAGTTTCATCGGTAATAAAGGTATATTTATAGTAGTTTTTTATGGTTCTGCAGCAGGCGCATAGACTACCAATATAACCCATTACCAATGCGAACTATAGCAATGATTCTTATTTTACTACGACCTTGTAATCCAGGTACAATTACTATATTACAATTACTATTTTGCTAACTGACAGTATATATAAACAATGAATAAGTTTTCATATAAAATCGTTTATAGTCTTGTCAGTAGAAGTGCTGAATGAATGATATTCAATAGCTGCAAAGCGACATAATAACATGTTCTGGTTGGCATTGTAAAAAAGTCATGATTACTAGCCCGAAAATAAAGAAAGCTGGAACGTAGTAATAGGACTGAAAATACAACCTGAGTTATCGAAGTTATAGTAGCCTATAAACTTAAATTCGCTGATATTGAAAACTGCATAAAGTACATTCTTGAATAATACTTCATTAGGCTACATTGTTCTTTGGCATTCTCCATTTCTACTAACCGATGATTTACTTCAAGTTACAAGTCTAATAAAAGTGAGTATAACTCGTTGCAGTTTTTATCTACTGCCCGTAGGCTAAGCGAAGACGTTGTTTAACCTTTTGTGTGGTTGACTCTATTTACAAGCAATTATTTTCCACGTACTCGGTTAAATTATTGTGATTTATAAGCTAAGTTAGTAGTGGAAAATCGTTGCAAAAGAGGTAAATTACGTTGTGATTTTGTCTAAAATGAACAATGTGAAAACCAAAAATCTATTCATTTTTGAGAAAAATTGATATTATTGCGTAAAATGTGTAAGTAAATATATATAATTAAAATAGTTATATTTGATATAATAAAATTATGTTAGCAAAAAGTTTGTTGAAAAAACTTTCATTGTATGTCCTTGAGAACGGGTCCATTACATTCGAACCCACGTACATCTGGACCCACGACAACTGCACCTACATACTATTGCACCTATGGTATTTTTTTGTTTTACGGATATTTGAACCCATACTAACCCTAACCCATGGGTTTTAGCACCCGCATATAGATTGAAACCGCGGATATACACATGGGTTCAAATGTACAGTCACCCCTTGAGAACGACCATCCAATAGGTTTTTGAATTATGAAATCATCATGTGCCAAATGCAATCCATAGTTGTACTATCTTACTCAAACCATTGGTAATAAGTATGCACTGTAGTTGTGATATAATATGCATTCTGATATGTTTTTACTAATGCGGACAACACAAATAATAATCAATATTGCTAATTTTATCTTTATTGGTAGTATAATGTGAATTAGTGGTGACTGAATTTTTAAATCGCAGATATGAAAGATTAAAATTGGATTTTAAAACAACAAAGCATGATAATGAATAATTTGAATAAAGATATCTTTCTAAAAGGCATGTTTAAATCAATTATAAAGTGGAATGGAATGAGTGAAAACACGAAAGGAATGAGCAATCACTTATCAAATAATGCTTTCAGTTGCATACTTTCATAAATCATGAAAATGATAATTTTGTAATGGAGGAGAAGATTTAATTTATGCTTATTTTGTATCTTCTTCATTATTGAATCTCTCGCACGGCAAGGTCTATTTCTTTCCATACATTTGGACGTTTTCTTTAATGCATCCGGTTTTCACTTGAAGTTTGGTGGAGATTCCATGGTCCAGCAAGAGATTTCTAAGTTCTAGAAATTCGTCACCGCTGAATTCTGGATGAATATTTTTAGCGAAACCCTGGAATTCTATAAATACATAATAAAAAAAAAATTATTTGCCGATATACTTATATTGTACTATATATAATATTATTTTTGATTATACAATATAAGCATCGTATAAAGAAGGAAACCTTACTATAATAGTGATGTACTTACTTCCGTAACGGCACACCAGAGTGACAGCAAATTTCTTGTAGTCTGTGATGAACCACCAATCCCAGGTATGTATGACGTAAGCACCTGTATAATGAACAAATATAAACTTGATTATTCAAGCTCTCCCAATACACTACTTAAGAATCACTCCAATATTGATACATACTTTGCTTCAAGAAAGTGTCAAGTTTTTCATGTCCCATTCCTTTGTGCTCAAGTGCTTTGTATGTAACGTTGTAGTATTCTTCAGCTGTATAAATTTATTAAACAGTGTTGTTAGAATCATGTCCGTTTCATAATATAGTTCAGGGTTGTCCAAACCGCGGCCAGCCGACACATTCCATGCGGCCCGCAGAGCAATTTTAGTGTGTACTAAATCATTCGCTGATATTTGTATTTATTGGCCAAACATTTTTGAGTTATTTTCAAACTATTCCACATGATAATAGCCTCTTACCTAATCCCGATGTCGGGATTCATGTTTGTTAAAATCACGAATTTCAATGTTGTATCTATAACCGTCATTACGGTGGCAATATGGGGATGACGTCCTGTGATTCGGATAAGGAGAATGGATTGTCTTGTGCAGTTAGGATTAAGCCGATGAGATGGGTCGCGCTTTTTATCTAAACTTCGTACTTTAAGCTGTAGTCAAGTAGTCTATCTCCTCATTCGGATAGACGTTTTGTGTCTTTATTTCAGTAAAACACTCCTCTATTTTCAAGCGTTGGCCATGTGACAGCAGTGACGAACCACTGAGCTCACTTAGCGCCACGCGATCCAGTTTTTTTTAGCTGGATCTGGAGTCCAAACTTAGACGGACTTGGTTGTTCTTTTACCATAGCACCAGGCTTGCTCACGCTGCGAGTAATAAAATCAGTCGAATATAACGATTCTTCATACAATGAGTGTAAAAAAGGTGGCCGAGGTAAGCTGTGAGAAAACGTATTTCCTAACCTACAACAACGTTAAATCACAGTTTTTGGTGTGTTTTCAAGTAATATCTGCCACGAAAGATTATAATTTGAAGCGACATTACAAAACCAAACACGAGAAAAGATACCGAAAATATCACGGTATTTTTCGTGAAGCAATTTAAAAATAACTAAAGGCTTTAGCATTTATATATCTTCCTCCAACTGATTAGAACGGTAAACTCTCATTTCTGAGCATGTTTAATTAAAGTGAGTAAACTGGATGTTTTGATCATATTTGGGCTCTCCTCTCCGACTGCGGCCCGCGAGACATCCTCGAAAGTTTTTGCGGCCCGCCAAACTCGCAACCTTGGACCACCCTGAATTATATAGTTTATGACGGATTGGGCAACTTTGAACATTGAAACTAAACCTTAATCAAAGCTGTGGAACCATCATGTCCAGACACTTATCCTCACGCGGGAGCATACCCTCATACAAATGTTTTTATCATATTGCCAAGCATTATGTTGCAATGGAACTAAACAGGAAATACCAGTTCAAAATGATCCAAATTAAAACAAGAGAGCTATGCTCAAATATATGGACACGTAGAAACACATAATTTTGATGACGTCATAGCGAAAAAAAAGTAATAGCCTTCTGGAGAAAATTTTTATCTTTATCCACTGAAAATTTCAAAGCAATTGGTCCAGTATTCGAAGACAAAATCGATTTCTTCAAACCGTGTTGATGGAGAGAAATAATAACAATAACAACAAAATTTCGAAACGATCGTTATGTCCACTACGTGTCCAATAGCCGAGTTAGTCGTAGTTTGGTGTTTGGTTTAATAATTTAATATACCTACATTACCCTGCATTACAAAAAATGGATTCTTGTCGATAAGAGCACATACTTCAAAAAAGTAATTCGAATATTTTGTTGCCTATCGTAAACTGTATCGCCCTTACCTCTTACAGGATCGGGACGGTAGATTCCTGGACGAACTCGTTTATAATCTTGAACGAACACGTTTGGAGTGAGTGGGTTGCTGAAACCAACAAAAATACATCGATCTATTACTATAGGCTCAATTGAATGATACAAACTAACAAAAAATCTAATATTCGTTAATGTAATGTAAAGCTGATTTAGGAAAGTGAGTTTAATATAGTGATGCAGACAAATAATATGTGCTTTGTTTTCAACTTTCCGAACATCTCGATTAGCCAAGAGAAATGAATGAAGCTCATTGCTAGTTTTACCTCAGAATAAGTTCTTCGAGGATCAAAAATACGCCATGATGATTTGGTACGTAGTCCAACCAGTTGAAACAATCAACTAGAAATGGTTGAGATGGAATGTCAACGGCGTCGTACCAGAAAATACTTCTCAGCTATAAAGAGAAAAAATAAACAAGTTTTTAAAATAAGAAAAAAATTCACCATTTCTGTTGCAATTTTTCTCGATTTGGCACTTTCAAACAAATCGGCTTTTAAAAAAACAGCGATGTAAGTACAATTAATTATCAAAAACTCAAAATTATCAAAAAAGTTGAATCTATTATTTTTGAAACTGATGTGCAAGTACTGCAGTAAACACGAGACTCCCCTAAAAACGGACCTCCTGAAGTATGTGCACCAAGATGGCGCATAACCTGAATTCAGGTTGTGTACCAGGTTAGGTTTGAGGTTATGCGACATCTTGGTGCGCATACTTCAGAAGTACCCTAAAAATTGCACCGTGCACACAAAATTTAATAGCAATTGTTTTCATGATTTCTGCTCTAAACGCGAAGGAACATTTGATATGAGTTTTCAATTTCAATTGATAACCAAACGTGTGTCAGGAATTTAGATACATTTTCTATGTGCGAATTTCTATAAGATTAGCACACGTTAGATGTGACACAAAGATTATAACCCATGCTCGAGTCGGAGCTTCCCATTCTTTATTGCATTGACTCCAACTACTCCCCCCCTTGACTCCCTCGTTTCTACTTACAGATATTACAAATTAAATCACGTATATGTAAATAAATATTTCCTTCATTGAAACATATTCACTCTTAAAATCTTAAGAATTTTTAAATATTGATCATGATGCAAATTAATGATTTATATTTTTCGAATGTCATTGTTGGACTTGCACCCGATCCCGAATCACAGTGGTCAAATACAGAATTCAAACTTCAACGCCTTCTGTATACATCCTTTGACCTCATTTCCTGGTCATAATCAAGCTTTTTATTAAGAGGCGTTAGGGTTTGGGCAGGCATTGATGCAACATGACAATTTATACAATATACATTTCATCGTAGCAACCGGTCCGTGGAATATTCACGAAAAAAAAACACTGGGCACAAACACGCACCAACCCTAAGAAACATGTTAAGAGCATATGCGCATTACTTACTTATCTTCTTGCCTATAACGAGAAAAATGTGAGTGGTGATTTTTAACGGTGTTATCTTATCCGTTACCCGAAAATGTGAATGTAAAAATTTGTATTATAATTAGAGAGTCCGGAATCTTGAAAGATCATAATTAGCGAATATCAGAATTTTCCTAAAGTTCAAAATAAAATCTTACCCTAGCCCAATCCACTTCTTCAAATCTATCTGGTACCTTGCACGTACTTTCAGCATTGACGATTGCCACAAACGCGGCGAGAAATACGAAGACGGAGATGTTCATCTTGTGTGACGAGAAACTGCTGTCTAACAAGATTTTGGTCAGTGATGTACTTTTATCGACGTCGCGACACTGTTTTGTAATCAATCTTATAATGATGTAAATCACCTTAGACTGTATCGATTAACAAATGTTTCTTCAAATATTATGTTGCATAGTTGTTGCAACACAAGCACTGAACTTGCAATATTCACACAACTTGCGAATTTCTCCATCAACATTCTATGTCGGGGAATCAAGTGCATTAGGGTTTGAATACTACTTTTATCTCAATATTAATATTCATTTTTAGGCTATAAGAAGCGATAATTGGGGTTGGTTGATACATCTTGTTCAAAACGCAGATGCTGATTATTGCTAATATGCATTATGCATATTGTCGTGTGTTTTTACAAATCATATCTGATCTCCTTCTCTATATCGACCAACATGAAAATTGATCTCATATGCAAAATGCAATATGAATGATCGTTCTATATGCGAATCATGATTCATTTGATAGTGATGAGAAATGTCAGCCAAGAGTTATTAAATAAAAACCGTAATGAGAAGATAAGGTTTTAAAAATTACGTTCCACCAAACAAGAGCTGTGGATAAACTGGGTTTACTAAATTAAAAATCATTCTTAATATGTGATTCATGCAAATATTGATTTGCAAATCATATACACGGTGTCTGATATTAAATCAAGTTTATTTAATATATATGACATATATATGAAGCCATGCCATAAGAAGAAATGATCTACTTTATAGCGTTTGTCTGACATGGATAAATTATATCAATTAGTATCGATGAATTTATATAATGAATGATGTAAAATATGAGTTTTATAATTAATTATATAAATAAAATTGAAATATAATGAAGTGTGCTGTGCAATCATCCAACGAATTGAAAAAGTTTTTTCAATTTCATTCTCTTTTGCTAAATCGATTTTATAAAAAAAATGTGGAGCAAATAGTCGGATAGCAAATTTTTCTGAATCAAATAAAAACTTTCATTTAATTTAGAACCTTATTCATTGTTTTTTTTTGCTTTACGTATATTTGTTCGGTCTGTGATTACTTGCGATTGTAACTGGTAAACAATATCAAGTGGGACAAGTGTGGGACACATGGCAAGTGTGGAAGGAGTGAGACGCGATATATATGATGTACAATTTTCCATTCAGAATTGCTTTAATCTTTGAAAAAAAAATTTTTTTTGGTTAATTGTGCAACATGTATAGGTAGTAGTGTACAAAAATAGTTGATCTCTTATTTGTTTCATTAGGTCAATTTGATTCCGGGATAGGAATATCTATATCCGAATATGAGATTTGCATTGTTTGTCATAAATTAAAGTTTCTTGTCAAAACATATCAGAAACTACCAGTAATTTTGAATAATTATATTTAATCAAAGATTATCTAAATATTTTTATTGTATTGTACTAATTTTCACACTACAAATATTAAGTGGAATAGTTTTTTATTGAATCTTGTAACCTGGTGGTCTAATGTCACTACCCGTGCGATACTACAGCTTTTCGAAGTCAGACGGCCCATCGGATACAAAAGAGATGTCACATGAAATATGAATTCATATTCAAATTTTTAATTTTTTTTTAATGAACGTCTTACTGGAGACGACTCGTAAATCAATCGAAAGTTCTGCATACAAGTGAAGGTGCATGTCACAGTAGAATACTATTAATTATATTTCGCGATGAATATTAAACACTTCTGCACGAGGTTTAAAATCCTAGTTGAACAAGAGAGCGATGATTAAATATATGGACACGAATTCCAAAACGCCGTCGTACGAGTATGCAATCTGTCACAGACTACTGGTACCGGTCGTCACGATGTCCTGAAAACGTGAAAGACAGAGCCATCATAAAAACGTGTTCCCATAATTAAAAAATATACAGCGCATTTTAGATGCAATATAAGATCTTGCAGAAAATTAGAAACAAATAAATGTAATAGCCTTCTAGGAAAAAATACAATCTTTCACCGAGATTTCAAAGCAATTGGGGCGCTCCAGAAGTATGTGTACCAATATGGAGGTAACTGATTTTGTTCGCCTACTTTATATTGAGTTGTGTAAAGGTACGGAAACCAATGGGCAGAGGGTATATTCACTTAGCTAACCAAAATAGTCCCGAACTCGTAATAGAACTAAAATAAGGAAATCTGTATAAAATTATGGCCTAAACCCAACCTGGTATACATACTATGGGAGTACCGCAATTAGTCTATTAGTAAATAAAAAAAGCGATTTTCCATAAGGTATTGATAGTAAGAATAATAACAACAACATAATAACAAAATGATAGATATGTCGACTTTGTGTCAGATAATTACCCGATAAATCAGCTTTAAAGGTTATTCAGAAATATTTGTAAGCTCCATATTATGGTCTAAATTCTACTTTTGACTCTAGTATTGAAGTTACTTAAACTTCTTTCTGCACCAGTCACTTTCGGGTTGAAAGCCCTGTTACACAGATGCAAATCTACATAAAAACTAATAGCAAATGATAAAAGTTATATTTCTAACAATGTATACTATCTATTGTGTTTGATACGTAATGCCATAGCTTGGGCACACTACATATCCCAAATGAATGCGTAATACGATTGTAATCAGGTACAATTAAATGTCTTTGGCAACAAGATTATCCAGATATACAAAAACAACTTAGTACGGTGCCAATCTTCAGGTTTTCTGATTTCAAATTTGAACCAGGTTCAATCAGTTTGGCTGTTTCTAACTAACCGTCCGTAGACAGTTAATAAAGTATTCTATGATACTTTTCTGGCCAACTTTTTGCGTGTGAAAGTACTTTTTCAATCGGATTTTTATTTTGGATAGATTCCGGTGTGCTGTAATGCAGATGCAGGGGTCCACAACTACCTTTTGGCGCGAGACAAAAATTTCTTTTCTAATTTTTTGCGACCCAAGCATTTGGTAGGAATGTAATTAGGTATATATATATATATTAAGACTGTTACTGACATTAGCAATTTTCTTGCACAAAATTATATGAAACTTGGCACATAAAATCTCGTTATATGTTGTATCATCAATTCCACACAGCTACTGCTAACCTTGCACGGCTGCGAAACAAAACAATTGACTACGTAGTAGGATAATAACAATGCAAACAAATACGTAATGTTGTGTGAATGTTTCTTAGACTTTCCATCCCTGGAAAAAATCTGTGCAAAATTGTTGGCACCTTTTTTAAGAGTGCGAGTTAGCGCTTATAAACAGGTTTATATGTTTCAAACCATCATGTTAATTCGAAACGTTCAACAACCTTTCATTTAAATGTGACGGTAGAAAATTTTAGCCAAGTCTATCACAGGTATATCTAGAGTCTAGACTAATGTTTAATTACTGCAATTAAAATAAAACTCCTACGAAGACAAAATGACAATTGAGTTATTTGATTTCGACGTATATTTACCAAAACACAAGTAAAAACTAACAATTAGCATGCAAAAATACGAGGTAATATGGACATGAAAATTTGCCTGATTGACACAATAGTGTCCGAGTGGCTGCTAAAACGTTTATTGTTACGCCAAATTTGGGTCGCGACCCTGCATCGCCATATGGCGCGGCGGTGTGGCTCGTCGTGCTAAGCGATAGGAACACGCTCACCACCGCACCGCTAATTACTCTGCGTGGGCTCGCAGGCTCGAATCCCATGCGGGATGGTTATGTGCGAGAGGATCGCTGGACTCCTCGCTGCCGTAGGGTAGTTCACGTAACCGCTGGTCGGTTACGGCTTCTTCTACTACCAAGTCCGTGCTTCCGAAAAAAACAAATAAATAACTAATACCATACCCGACACCATTTTTACAACTATTTAATTATCTGTGGCCCGCGTCGAATTCGGAGAGTAATCAAAAACTCACATTTGGTGTTGTTTCGTCAAAAAATTAACCAGATCCTTTGACCTACTGTTACATCACTAATGTCACTGAAGTGACTAGTGTTATGGCCGGTTGAGGCAACTAGCGAAGTTGAATGATGTGATTGGCAGTCCAAATTGTTATCTAGCTTCTATCTTTTTGGTCGGAAATATGTACTGACAATTCAGGCAGCATAGAAAACTAAAAACCGAATGCGGATTCTATTAGCCTAGGCTGGCTATGCCTGATAACTAAATAAAAATGTTGTGGTCTAACAATATAATTCAGTGGTTCTTAAACTTTTTCGAGTGCGACCCAAATCTGAGTTTTATGAATACTCGCAGCCCAATCCTAAATAACGCAAAATGTGTTTTTAATGTTAGTACAGTTTGACTCAAATACAGACAACTGTTTATTAGAAACAGTCTATTGACTCAGTGAGATTGATGAAACTGGAATTTCCTTTTCATTATATCTTCAATACACAGCTCTATTTTACTTACCGCAATACGCAAGTTGTCACGGGTATCGAGGCGAATGCGAGCTTAGTTTTGATAACCGTCAGTGCCAAATATCCTCGCTCGCACAAGTGCCTTGTCGCGAATTGTAGCAGACAAAGGCGTCCGCTGTCCGTCGCAAACACGACATCCTAGCTGGCCGTCGGTATCTCTCGCAATATACAACTTTTTACTCATCAAATGTGCACACACTGCTTCGTTCGCGGTAAATGGTGCCTCGAGATGAAGTCCCATTTTTTCTAGATATTGAATAATCTAATGTCAAGAAGCGAGCCTTTTCATTGCGTCGTCTATTACAATTTACATTACCAAAAAGACACCCATTTTTGGTTATTTTAATCCACTAAGACAACATTCCACGCGGTCAACACAAGGACAAGCGACGTGCATGGTTACCGATACCATAAAAATAATACACGTGACTGGCATATCAGAATTGTGATGTAACAATGAGCTCAAGACAGTTCTTTCCGTGAATAAAATTTTATATTTCATTTTATTTAATTTAGAAGCTAAATTGAAACATTGGGAAAGCTGAAAATTCTTCCTTCTCCTCATAGATTGCCCTTGCATTGACGACCTTGTCGCGACCCATTTTTAAACCTTCCGCAACCCATGTTTGGGTCGCGACCCATACTTTAAGAACCACTGATTAATTCATGCCGGTTGTTTTTTGCAACTATACTAAACGGTATTAAAAAATGCTGCGTATATGTCAGAAAATTTAGTAATTATCTTTCTGTACCTCACATTTGTCAATCAATTTGCAGTTATTTGGTAAACATGAGTTTGAAAAGAAAGCTGACGAATTCAAACAAATTTTTAACTGGATGTGGGAGGGAGAATACCACAATGCTTGTTTGATATGTCGGTGGCAAAAGAACGTAATTTAAAACGTCATTTTAGAATCTTGTGAGCAATGAGCATTTTACAAAGTTAAGATTTTGTTTTGAAAATTTTATCGATGTTCGAAAACACTTACATTTGCGGAAGCACTTTTTCAGTTATGAAGAGTTTAAATTATGACACTAAATGTAGATATAGAAAGACTTTTGCAGGTTCCGTTAATTTTTTTTAGTGTTTTTTGCATGCTTTAGCTTGACAAATAACAAATACTGTGTTTGCACAATAAAAGTGTTTGTTTTGTATTGCACTGTTTACCTATTCCTGGCTTTATTGTGGCCCGCGAACAATGTAAAAATAATTTTGTGGCCCCCGGATCCGACAACCTTGGACCACCCTGATGTATATAAACCTTGGTACAAGAAATATCGATAATTCTTGGAACAGCTAAAATAGATCCAGTGCATTTGTACAGGTGATTTGAGGTTTGGATATATGGTTTCGGAGCACAGGATTTTTTACATGGATAGACGCTTGGCAGCGCGCCTTAGGATATGATTTACATATGTATCCCGGGAACATGCACATGATGGAGGGAGCCGCAACCGACCAGCGATTACGTGAAACACCCTACGGAAGAGAGGTTTCAAGCAATCTTCTCACACGAAACTATCCCCGCATGGGATTCGAACCCACGGAGGGTAATCAGAGGTGCGGTGGCGAACGTATTCCTAAATGCTGGGAAAGGGGGGCTATACCGCCGAGCCTTGAATGAAACCTATGAAGTTTATGGGTGCCAGTTTCGAGTTGCATATGTGTGGATAAGGGCCCCACAGACATAATCCTCATACAACAATAACTAAGAAAAGTTTTATTTAGACGATGCGGCGCGGCGGTGTGACTTAACGGGCTGAGCGTTAGGAATACGCTCGCCACCGCACCTCTAATTACTCTGCATGGGTTCGCATCCCATGCAGGGATGGTTATGTGCGAGAGGATTGCTGGACTCCTCGCCGTCGTTGGGTGGTTCACGTAACCGCTGGTCGGTTACGGCTTCCTCCACCACCAAGTCCATGCTTACGAAAACAGACAATATAACTAATCCCATACCCGACTTGGAATGGTAACCGGACGAGAGGCCGTGGTTCGCCATATGGATAAGCCGTCTTATCGGCTTTCCTCTCCCCCGGGATAAATATGTAAATCCTATCCTACCTTGACATGTAGAATCATGTCATTGAAATATAGCTATTCCCACGATCTCATTCCCCCAAAAAATATTCCATAATTTTCAGCAAACATAATTCTTTGGCCTGTGCGCGCGCGCGCGAGTGACATTAATAATTTTTCAACAAGCAAGCACGTACATATTTTGTTTAAATTCCGTAGTTTTGTACCCTGCAACCTTATCAATATATTTTTTTTTCATGGTTTGGCGACTGCGAAGTCGAAGTAAATCTATGTACGCGTATCAGTGGCGGCGCGTCAATAGGGCCAACCGGGGCAATGCCCCGGTTGTTTTTTCGGTATAATAAAAAATATTCGAAAAATACCTCAATATCGGTTGCACAGACTGTCTACACTAGCCATATTCTCCCGACATGGTTCATTTTTCGCTCGCAAAGCCTTCGCCGAACGTCGACGGGGCGACGCCGATTTTGCCCGGTTGCTCATTGTATATCGTATTCTCTCTTTTATCTTCCACTCGCCGCGTTTGTCTCGTTTGTTTTCTGTTTCTTTTACTAAATCATCGGGGCCGATCGGGGCTAGCCCCGAAATTATGACGACACAATGCCGACGTTTCTTACAACAACGTGTTGACATATTCACGCATTCCTTCTCGTTCGTTGGTTCAGGGTTGCCATATTGGCTTTTTTACCGCCAAATTTACCATTTTTGGCTTTTTTCAAACGCGTTTGGCGTCAGAATTTCCGTTTGGCTTTTTGGCGTTTTTTTGGCTTTTTTCAAGTCTATGGACCTTTCCCCGAGCATCGACTTCCTTGTTTACTTCGTGACATTTGCCAATCAGCAAATTGCAAAAAGTGACGTAACAATGCTCCCTTTTCGCATCCGCTCAGACACTTTTCTCACCCAGACAGATTTTCAAGCGTGGTCGTAAACATTACCTCGTTTTCGCATTTTTGAACTCTATTCGTTAGTTTTCAGTTGTGTTTTGGAAAATTAAATGTAAATCAGATATTGCAATGGTCACCCTGTCTTCCTAGGAGTTTTAATTTAATTGCAGTAATAAAAATTAGTGTAGAAATAGCTGTGATAGACTAGGCTAAAATTCCTTAACGGTACTTTCAAAAAACAGGTTGTTGTGTGCGATAAATCATAATGATGGTTTGAAACACATACCCCATTTCACAGGCGCCAACTCGCAAAAGCACTCTTAAAATAGCCCCGAAAATTTTGCAATGCTAAAGTATAGGAAGAATTTTTCGGGGGTCAAAGGTCGGGGAAAGGTCCATTCTAGTGTCTATTATTAAAATCATATGAAATACAATATTTAGTGTGTAACAACTGAACAATAGCCTATAACCTGTACTTAGCTACTTAACATCAGGCTTCCCTGGAGCATCGATTCCCGTGTTTGTTACATTAACTCTTAACCATACCCAATAAGAAATAATTGCAGTTTCTGCTATAGTTTTGCGTGTTATTTGTCAGTTTTTGGCTCTGTTTCCAAAAAGTAATTGTAGGCTATAACTCAATTTTCATTATGCCTGATATGATTTATGTGAGCTCTAGTTTAATGCTGTAATTGCAGTAATCAAAATTTAGTCTCACGAACGATGTGATTAACTACGCTAAAATTACTGAATTGGATATCAGTGGTCCACCTGTGAGCGGCACGGGGTTAGATAATTTTTTAATAAAATTGATGATTTATAAATTTAAAAAGTGAAATTTTTTCTATAGTAAGATACAATATAGGGAGAATTTTTTAAGGTATATTACAAGTTTAAGTAGAAACATGTAGGTATATTACAAGCTGAAGCGGCACCCTGTCTTGTATATATTAAATGGTAAAATAATTCTGTCCACTTGATATTTATTTCACCTTCTACAGTTCTATAGGAACTTTACTTTCTATTTGTGTGCCTCACTGAATGACATGATGGCTTAACGTCCTAATCATCATCAGTACGTTGCCAAGGGCTTAAAATCTGATTAATCATGGGGCTTTTGAACTTGGTAAAATTGTTGGCTTTTTCTGGCGTTTTTTGTGTCTTGATTTGGCTTTTTTTGATCGCTGGGATCTGGCAACCCTGCGTTGGTTGCTTGAAGAGTTGATAGTTTCCTCGCCTTCGTTTTTGTCGCTTGTTTCGCTATTTGAATCAGTTAGAGACTATTAGTCCATTTGCTTTCGATTTTCCACATTCCTTTTGAGCTCCTCACTTCTTTCCGGCTTTGCATTTCTTAGCCTTAGACCTCATAATGAATAAGGTTGATGCACTACTTCGCACTCCGTTTTCGCAGCTGCCACTGGAACAAAAATTAGAGGTACAACGTCTTAGGCCTTATTAACCAAAAAATTGTTCACTGGAACAATCCCGCTTCTTTACGCCGCGGGCAAACAACGCAGCGTTTGATTTTGTCTGCAAAGGAATGCTGTGACATTCTGGTAAATCAAATAGGCGATCGTCTGCGCACTGAACACCTTGCCGCGTTCTCTTTGACGAACACCAAAAAATTTTTTAAATTTGCACGTCAATTTCCCATCCATTTGTTGGCTACTGTCTCCAAATTTTACCCCATGATAAACGTGGGTGAATTGGAAAATGAATTGCGATGTATATACACCAATCAAACTTTTTTGAACATCACATCAACTTGCGCGCTCTATGGGTTCCTCATAGATAACACTCTAGTAACTACCTTTGCGGCGTCTGCAAAATTTCTGGACATCATTTTGACGACGCCTATTTCTTCCGCCGACGCAGAGCGAACATTCAGCACGCTGAAGCGTATTAAAACGTATCTCAGAAACACAATGAAGCAAGATAGATTAAATTCCTTGGCTGTTTTATCCATCCACAGAGACGTTGTTTCTGGGATGCATGACTTTAATCAGCGCGTTATTGAGCATTTTGCTTCCAAGAAACCGCGGCGTGTTGCATATATGTTCAAGCAGTAGAAGTCTAGCAGCATATATATTTATGAGTGAGCGACGCATGTCCTTATCTTTGCATTACCTTTCCTTTCTTCATAGTAACGTTTTAAACCTTATTTTAGGTTTTGTCTGCTTTCCCGAAGTTTCTGTTAATATGTCATTGTATTTATCTGGGTAAATATTGCCTTTCCTTTTGAAAGAGGTTTCAAAATAAACTATGTCTATATTTATTAATCCCTTGACTTGGACCGGTTTTAAAGACACTCTCTTATCGTTAAAAATTGTCGCTTTTGCCGATTGGTTGTTACCGATGGAATGGTTTTTATACTCATAAAATGATGGGAGAACTTACAGCGCTCATCCCGTCCCCGTAGATGGGGGTGACTTGGTCCCGCAGTAGCTTGCCCCGGTTGTCAAAATGACCACGCGCCGCCACTGGCGCATACTGTATTACGGTAATCAACTGCATTGAATCCAAAAACGAAGTCATTTATTTCATGAACTACTTTGATGTGGATGCAGTTTTAATTAAAAAAATATATTAGGTGACAAATTTTAAATCCATCTTAAAATATGATTCACAGCTAGTAATAAAATTATTTTAAATTCAACCAGGCACCTTGGAAACAAAACATTGGCAAAAAAATTTTTGATCGTAATCCGTTGTATAGGTATATAAAAAAACGAATCTGGCACATATTCAGGAGTTTTTTGGAAAGACACTTTTTCAACTAAATTTATAAGCATTTGGCATATATTAAAAATTAATGATAAACCAAAACACAATCAAAAATACACAGTACTACACATAAATTAAAAGCAATTGCACTTCATAAATTTGAACTTGAAGAATGTAGATACCACATTTAACATTAAAAGGGTAATTACTGAAAATATTCAATAAAAAATAGCAGGAAACATAGATAAATATGCCTCTATCATGACCAACGATGCATTGTTATGATTAGATCGTACAACACACTAGTAAGGTCTAAACGTTTCGAATAGTTGGAAACTGATTGTATATGTTCAAACCATTATTTGCAAAATTGATCAGTCATTCATGATATGGTTGTCAAATGTCAATGCAAATGTACTAATTCATCTTAATAACACCTATTCCAATTCATTAATTGTATAAACTCTAAACAACACTACAAACATGATATTTTAACTGATAATATAACCTAGAATGAAACAGGCATTCGTGTTCATTATGAAAAATATGGTTGCTGGAAAGCCACCAGAGATCCAATGTGAATTCAACTTGCATTATCTGTAACAGTTCAAGCCAGCATGGTGTACTCTTCTTGCTGTACACAGCACAGGTAGCATGCTTATCAGTATATTTTGATAAAAATTTAAATTAGCAAAAAATATGGAAGAGATTATTTCAAAAAAATCTTTCTAGCATTACCACTACGTTATAGTACCAACAAGAACAGTGAAGAAGTACATAAATATTTTTAAAATTCATTCCAAAAAGACATTTTGCAACATCATAGACTAAATTGAATAATTACATATAAATATTTTGCAACATAATAGACTGAATTAAAAAATTACATATAAATATATATGATTTAAAAACATATGGATAAAATTGTTGATGATACTACTGATGTTGAAGACATTAAATTATAAGACGACTCAGAATTTTTTTAAAAGTGTTATACATGAGCAGTTTGATTAAACCTTGGGCAATGCTGAATACATTTTGTGCGACGATCCATACAGAAGGTTGAATAAGTTTTAGAGTTGCACTTTTTTCTAAATAATTCAAAAATTGTTTTTTTCATTAATTCCACATGGTAATTGATTAAGGGTTCAAAGAGTCTACATCGGATTTAGTAATGATACATAATTCAATACTATGACAAAGGTTAGAATACTGTAAAACCTATTCAAAAAATTGCTTTTTAAATTGTTATGACTATGGACGTAGACTCCGATACCATTATTAATGTTTTAGAAGTGTTTAAAATTAAGATTGTCACCAGTTTAGCATTATCAATTATTATCATCCTCAAAAAGATAGACTTTGTCTCCAACACTAATTTCACCAGGTTTAATATTAACAAAATCCACAGAGAATTTTGGAGCAATTCCATACAGTGGCCTCTCCTCGGGTTTACACATTCTAAATGTTGAAAGTGTTTTCAAGGTATTGAGATCTTCATCTTTGATTCCAGTTTCTGGATTAACTGTAGTGACGTGACAACGAGTGCAATGTTTTGCAAAAACAAATTCAGCTGATCCAATCTTTATTCTTTTCCAATTATCTTCAGCAAATGCCGAACATCCTGGATTTACACAAATTATAGAATTAAAAAAGGAAAATGAAACTTGAAAATGTTTGAGGCAGACAATACAATTATAAATCTAATACTAATATTTTCAAGTTGGGTGCATAGTCATAACCAGTGATTCTCAACCATGGCTCTCAACTATTCTTCCTGCGGCTATCATTATCCTTTTCAGTAAAAATGTTTATTTGAAAATTAATCATTGACTTGAAATTGAAAGACTGAAAGTGAAGTGACCTAGTTGAACTGATGTCGTTGTAGTTGCTAGGTCGTTTTGAGTGCAACTTTTATTATGATGTCAAAGTGTTTTTCCTACAATGTTTATTTAGCCTACTTTTCAGTACACTGATTTATTCGTTTCCAGTAATCACGAGCAGGTATTTCGTGCAATGCTCAAAGTTTAGGTATTTACAAACAAAATATTTATCTCTTAGTTTGTCAAGACAAAATATCAAGCAAACCTTCAAAAAAACCCGCACTCTTTATAAATATTATCAGGCAATTCAATGTGATTGGAAAGAAAGTATTACCAAATTCAAATATATATCATTATGCAAATATGAATCAAGCTGTTGGTATATATATCAATGAAGAATGCATCTGTCACGATTGCGCCTCGCTTTTTCAGACTTCATATTTAAAAGCCTATGTGAAGTTTTCAGTTTTTACCCCGAATTTTAAAAAACATACTCGAGTTTTGTTGCTATTTCAATTCACATTTTTTTTTTTGGCTCTTCGCAATTCAAGGTTTGGAATTTGGTTCCGACACTAAAAAAAGTTGAGAACAACTGGCCCTAACCATCACCACTGCACACAATCATAAAGCAGTGATTAATAATATCCGGCGTGACTACAAGTTTAAAAGTAGCAAACACAATAATTTTTACCTTTTAACAAAACATTTGGCCTGAAGTTCCTTTCGGTAACCTGATGATCACCGTCCAGCTTAGTGTTGAGCAAGTCAACTGATGCCTGGGATACCAAATTAAAAGGAGAATAATCCTGAAATGTAGATTTTGTTGTTGTTTCTGAGTACACACCAAGATGTCCAAATTCAAGAAGTTTGGTTCCTTCTCTGCTTGGTAGCTGTTTATTATGAAACACTAAACGTGCTGTATTTACTCCAGTAAACTCTGCCAGCCATGCTGCCGCTTCATCGCCACAATCTACTCCTGGACACCTTGTACCCCAAACTTTGTAATTCAGCACTTTTCCACTGCCATGAATAGGTATTTCTATTTCAAAAGCTCTCATTCCAGGAGCTTCAAGTCGCAACTTATTTATTCCAATTATTGATGCCTTTATCAAAACCATTTGTGGGAATTGACGTATTGTTGCAAATCGACCATACTCATGTACCATCATAAAAGTTCTGTCACCAATGTCTGAGTTGCTCAACATAACATTTTTTTCTGTAGCCACAAAATTGTCCACTGATATGCCTCGACAGGATTTTACTGGGTGGATGAAAAGTTTGTCAACAATGGCTACTTCTTTCCAATTTGACATGCAACGACGCTTTCTCCAGACCAAATAAAGAATTGAGCAACTGATTGCCACTGCAGTGGTAAACACAACTGTTCGCATATCATTCATTTTGTTTAGGGATGTCAAGGTCAAATAAGCTATTAAATATTAAGAAGAAAACAGTCTCAAGGACTTGCCGACGCTAACTTGTTGATGCACACAAACTGGCCCAAGTTATTGTGAATCAACTATTGCAGTATTGTGGGTAACTATGAGTCTATGACTATACCGGTACCGTACGGTAACTGTCGTCGAGGAATGTTTGGGGTAGGATAGGATTTACATATTTATCCCGGGGGAGAGGAAAGCCGATAAGACGGCTTATCCATATGGCGAACCACGGCCTCTCATCCGATTACCATTCCAAGTCGGGTATGGGATTAGTTTTACTGTATTGTTTGTTTTCGGAAGCATGGACTTGGTGGTGGAGGAAGCCGTAACCGACCAGCGGTTACGTGAACCACCCAACGACGGCGAGGAGTCCAGCAATCCTCTCGTACATAACCATCCCTGAATGGGATTCGAACCCGCGAACCCACGCAGAGTAATTAGAGGTGCGGTGGCGAGCGTATTCCTAACGCTTAGCCCGTTGAGCCACACCGCGGTATAAAGACAGTGTGTATTATACGAGGTTTAGCTGCCTATAAGTTGACTTTGTTTTATTATTATAAGGTTGCGGCCATTTGTTGATACTGTCTGCTGCTTGGTGAAAGATTACCATAAACAGTCATCTTCTAATGTCTGACCTTGACCTATGTCATCTTCAATAATTGCCCAGCTGTGTTTCAAGCAATGCAACTGAAGTGGGGAATACCCCGACAATGTCGTGATGTCATGGCTCTCTAATATGATATCAAATCTTTTTCATCCATGAATATACCGTATTAGTTGATTAATTATATCTAGGGTTTTTAATGAATAAGGTCTATTGGACAATGCGTTCGTGATATTCCGGGTGCAGAGGGCACACCCGAGTATGTTTTGATAATAAACTAGTGAGCCGACTGTTATTCATATTCGGATTTCTGATATATGTAATTGTTTGAATAAATATTAACCCTCTCCGGGAATGCGTACACGTACACCAGTATATATTTACGGTAACACGTATGCAACAACATATTGTAAACTAGCTATCACCCACATTTTCTGCCGTAGAATGCTTTTTTCTACTCAGCGTACTACTGCGGTACTTAGTTGGTTCGATGCAACTGCTATTTTGCATTGTCGCCGCCTGATGACGCTGCAAGCGTCTCTTGCAAGATGCGGTCTCCGGTGCTCGTGATCCATGGTCATATTTTAAGCAACTATTCCAATTCTTATACACCGAATTCGTCATATCTCTGCACGGGGCAAAAGAATAGTGTATACACAAGCTTTACAAACTGATTGCAACCTCGAACGATTTATGTGGTTTTACGAGGGGGTGGTTTAAAATTGGTGTTGCATGGGTGCAACATCTTCCCTCAGAAATGGATTTCGGTTGTTAAATTAGCTAATATTCGTCTGTTTAGTTTCGTCATTTATGTTGGCTTATTGAGCAGATAAAGTAATTTATGAGTTTCCTATGTCATATAAGGTAGAATCAGGTTTATTAGGATGCAGTATTATGAGAATTTGCCGAGTAGGGGAAAATTTGGCATCAGATAATTTTGTTGTAAACAGAAGATTTAGAAAGCGTGAAATAAAATATGCACGAGTGATATGTTTCAGATTTAAAACCAAATAAAATCCAAGTATTTTAGCCATAAATACAGGGTTAAAATAATAGAGAAGTGTCTCAGATTGATTCAGATTTTCTATTTGGATTTTCAGCGATCTAGCAGAACGATTGTAAATATGCCGACGGGTAAAATATTTGCAGAAATTGCGTTGAATTAGCGCGTATTTCTAATGCCACACTTTCAAATAAAGAGGCAATTGAGACTTACAATTATGAATATGATGAGGCTGATCTTGATAAAACACGTAATTTCCAGAACGATATTTATGTAGCTAAGATTTTGAGCCTAAAAAATCAGACCATTTCAGCATTTTGACTGTTGGAATTTATATGGACAGACAATAGCAATCTAAAAACAAATCCAAAGTTGAAACTTAGTCGTGTTTTGAAAGTCCGAGGGCGGCGCCGTTCACCCAGACAAACAGAAACCTAATTCAACGTTCGAGGGAGCACAGTTTTTCTCTTGCTCCGAATTTTTGACAACACCATAAAGATATTGTAATCCACTCATGAACCAATCTATACTAATTGTGGAGCAAAACAATAAATGTATACACAAAAACGGAATTTGCCTGAACACAAATGCTGCAGAAAACTACGCTGGCCGTGTTTTTTTATAGCGTCTTCCAGAGTGGGGGCAAAGTCGGTCGATAAATTCAAACGAAAGTCTGAAGTGGAAAGAGAAGACATTCAGTCCAAAAAATATCGAAATCGTAAAAATGTAAATAAACACACAAATTGCCAAAGATTTTTCTGCTACCAAAAAACTTGGTTTCTAATTTTTCGCATCGTAGCGTAATCAAAATGACTTTCACGCTAAAAAGTCGTTATCTGATAAAATACGTAACAGTAGGTAAATGCAAAATTATTTCGATGTAAAAGCTAGATTTTCTATATTTTTGCATTTTATATATATATGGAAATTCAAAGTTTCAAAATAAGTTTACAGAAATAGGTAAACGAAAGTGTCAAGGGACAACTCATATGCATTTTCTAAATATTTTGACTTGCGAAACTACCTAGAGTGCAAAAACATGATCTATATTAACATTTGTTTACATTTTAATGCGCCTTTTATATTAATTTTTATCCTATTAATATTTTCAACCATCGTAGTATATATACTGGCCATGTTACAAAGTATTGCAGATTGAACATCATACATGTGATATCTTAGAATTAGTCCTTTCCGGGCACAAGTTGCACTAGTGCAGCATCCGGTAAATCCCCCCAGGGAGTCGGAGTGTCGAAAATTTTTAAAAATTCATCATATATGACCTAAAAGTATTGCTTTTACTAAATATCAGATTTTTTTTCAGGTTTTACCATAAGTGAATTGGGACCTGAAAAATGAGCATAACACAATCGACCTCCAGTGAAATCTGTCACCCAATTCACAGAGGCCAAATATGGAAATATTAATATTGTTTGTCTTATGATCCACGTGGAGCCCTTGTATATTTTCAACACACTTTACTTATTAGTGAAATACACAAGATAGTGGAGGGTTCCTTTACGTCATAGTTTGACATGATTGATTTTCTTTGCAATTTTGGGATACTGAATCACGTGGCAGACTCAACTTGTCGAACTGCGTTTGGAGATTCTTGGCCCATATCAACACTTTATATATAATATATATATATACAAAACCGTTGTGTATAACTACTTTTCAACAGTCAAATACCAAGTATTGATAAGGTTTCGAATTTTTTTCAGAAAAAAGACTTTTAATTAAGAAACAATGTAAAACTATCACATTCAGAATTGAAAAGCAATTATTGCCACAAGAGCTCTGGTGCAATCGGTATGTTAGTCGTTGGGTGCAATCTAACCTTGACTGAAATATTGTTTTATATTCTCTATTTGAGCACATTCCTTGGTCGCTTGCGCGTACAGTATGTTCCCCAGCTTTTATTTTTTTTTGGGGGGGGGGTGTTTCGAAATTTAGGGGGTGGTAAATAATTTGCTATTAGCGATGAAACTATTTGTATTTTTAAAAATTGGTATGTATTTAAGAAACGATGTACATGAGGGTTCCCCCAAGTTGATTGACGGCGAGCCAAAATACACAGCAGAATAAAATTGTAGGGCCAGAAAAGGGGAGCGAGTAAAAGTGCGCGACGCCACGGCTGGGGTTCAGGGCGCGCTTAAGCGGCCTGAGAAAATTTTGAGAAATAGAAGCCAAAATAGGCTCTAAGCTTGATTTTAGATACACCTAGCATCGCAGTTTGTTATGTAATGAAATTAATAATTATAATATGTAGCTGATAGAATTCCCGAGGAATAAATAACAAGAACGGCTTTCAGCAAGTAATTTACAACTTATAGTGACTAATGAAGTTACTTGCTCATCTAGCATATGGCGTCGTATGAATGGCTACTTATGGCTTGTTTTGTTAAACATTTCACACTTTTTTGAACATGTTTGTTTGACTTGTGTACGAATCAAGCAATGAATTGAATTTTGAAATACGCGCGTCAACTGATCATAATGGCGCATAATGTTGTATTCCTTCAGAACTGAAATATTTTGTTGGCAAGGAAGACAAATCGCTGAAGTTTGATTTTCTCCAATAAAGAAATACAAACACTGCCATTCATCTAAAAAATGTCTGTTTTCAGTGCCTAGTTTTCGTTTTGTGACATCTTTGAGGTTCATAATATCTGGCTAATACGGTATCTAAAATACTGCGGTGTGTAATCCTAATACCCATACGTATTTATAAGATACCGGTATAATTCAATTGTTACGAAATAAACGTGCTTAAACTGTGATAATGATGTAACGATAGACGAAATCTAAAACTCAAAAGTACCACATGAAGTGTTAAACTATTTCACTCAAGTTCGGCGTTACGCGGGCCGTAATTGACCTGCGGTTTGGAACCCCTCGTCTACACTGAAAAATATTCCATAGTCGTTATATTTGAATACAATTATAATTGAGTTAGGAATTACAGTGTGGACTGTGGAATCGCACATGGGAATAACAGTGTCGAATAGCACTTCAAAATTAGGGGGGGGGGGGGGGGGTTTGAAATTTTAGGGGGGGGGGTGTTCATCCCCTATAGGGGGGTGTAGGGAAATCACTGTGCGTGTACATCAGTGATCCTCAACCGGATATACGGTATACCCAAAAGAAGGGTGTACAGCCTAAGTCGGGGTTTCGAAACTCTAATATATAAGATAGAAATCCAAGACAACAATGCAAATGCGGCGTAACTGGTTTTCAGGTAGCCACGACCATTCGAGTATGGTGATTCTTATTTTAAGATTAATTTTCTTCGTATTTCAGTATGGAAATTTGCTAGCCGGGATTCATGTTGCAGCTAACGTTGACATTCCTTGGCGTTTTGTCGTGCGCATGCCGTCTGTATGTAGTATGTACAAGGCCATACCAGAGAGAGGGCTACGGAGAGGACCCTATCCCCATCAATTTTTTGAAATAATCCTTCACCTGGCACAATATCTTGTCTCCGGTATTTGAAAACAATATAAAATAAAAGTCGTTTACGCAAAGTACCAACTTGAGCACATTGTTACATCACAATTTATATAGATAATAGCAGGCACGTAGTGGGTTATGAAGACGGCTACCGTGCACGTCACTTGGTTACCGTTAAACAATATTCCCGTTGACGCCAGGACTGCACAGTCAAATTTACACCATTTGCAAATGGGGGACAGATCAGTGGCGATCCTGGCATGGTGAGATTATTAGGAAAACATTAGCATTTAGTTACTGCTTATCAGGCCTCACCTAATTGATGTGAAACAGACAGCTGATTTGAGCCTTACCTGAAACAAAATACCACAGATAGATGCTGTTAGTAATGATTTCTCAAACCGAGTATATGTTCCTTGCTGAACTGCATGATACACTATTTTGCTATTCGGACTATATGAGACTAGATTTGACACGTTTGAAGAGACTGGAGTTTAGCATTTTGGGCAGGGATGCCTAGTAGATCGGTTGCAGTCTGCACTGGTAAAGTCTGATTATAATCATGTACTTTGTGGCCGCAGTCTCCATGTATCTTTCTGAGAGTGTGATGTAAAGCCCTCTACTTCTGAACCTCTCGTTCTGTTACAAGGTTCTTAAAAAATGCAATTAAACCTCCTGCATGTTTATTTGTGACTCAATGTATTCGACCTTTTATTGCAAATCTCGCTTTTTTAATATTCCTCGCTAATTTAGCCTCTTAATTATTTGCATGTGAATAATCTAATTAAAGACAAACCTAAATTTTTGTACAAGGAGCATAGTCGCAGCAGACCCTCTTCCTATTCTGTGCCATTGCATCGGCAAATTTGTAACCTGGGTTTCCAGAATCGCACTGCCTGTTTTTTTATATTTATCAACTGGTACACGATTGAGATTACATGGGAACAGATTACTGAATTACCGATACGACAATTGCAATATTATTAGTGAGTAATGCCAAATTTGAGTTTCAATACAGCAACTCTGGTGACTAGATTGTTTTAGGAACTTCTGACATGAGTTCGAATATACAGGCCATCTCCTGCTGTCGGGCCCCATTTACCTCATCCAGGGAGACAATGTTTTGATTAAAAATGCCCTGGTCATTTTTAATGTGTAACCTATTACGATATCGATCGAGCAGCTGAGAATGTCTGGAGTAAAGGGTGACACGTTTCTACAACTCATAGCTTGTTTCAGACACATTATGTCTAATGGACCCAAGAATTTTTTTTGAAGTTCTTGGTTCAGACATAGCCTATTAGTAAAATTACCATTCGGGCGATGTACGGATGTCTTTTCTAGCTTACGTAGATACTGTTTTATTGCAGAATATGTGTTTTCTATGCCAACAGTTTATGAAAAGAATCGATGAACGATTAGAAGCCACGTTTGCGTAATGACGTTCAGGTGACGTTGTTCTGCGTAATGCATTACGTGAGTTTGATTACGCAATCGCGCATTTCGTTGTTCACAGCTCCGTATGTGCCAGTATCATATTCATAGCATCGGCCGCTATATATTGGAACGAATCTTGATTGGACACAAATTATAATTCACAAGTAACAAAGGCGATGATGTATACGTTTAAATCCTGCTTTGGCCAAGTCGAGGTAGTTTTTCGCTCTCTGTTATTATCATTTTTTATTATTCTTTCCGAAGCATGTCTCTCTTTCTTGTACAAATGGTTTACCACTGACGAGATTGATTTATTTATGACCATTTTTCTTTGCCATCGTCTACCCCCGTAAATTCGACAAGGTTGCGTTATTTCATTGAAAGAAAATGATCGAAAAATGTGGGATTGGAATATAACTTGCAATGACTTTCAGGTGTCGCTGCTCGATAAACAACTTTTCGCGTCATTCTTCACCGTGAATTGTCATTTTCAATTTTTTCCCAATTTTTGTTCACAGTGAGTGCATTTTCATTTTGGTGAAAAATAAACTACTGACCGACTTTAAAAACCTAGCGACCCTCACCAAGAACACAGGCTTATAACAATTTGTAATCCGTCTTCATTTCATATATCCAATTATAGCTGGTAATTGAAGTTTGTCTGAAACACAGTTATTCGCGAGCGAACATGACTGTGGGTGCAAATGTATGCAGGTGCGAATATCACGGGTAAAGATATTCATGGGGCGATTGCATATGTGTGAAATGTCATGGGTAGAAATGTCTGTGGATGCAGATGCGCATGGGTACAAATGTACGTAGTTGCAAATGTCTCGGGCGCAGTTGTCTGTGGGTGCAAATGTACAGGAGTGTAAACGTACGTGGGTGCAAATGTCCATGGTTGCAAATGTCCCTGGGTGCAATGTCGGTGGATGCAAATGTCCTGGGTGCAGTTTACAGGTGCAAATGTACGTGGGTACAAATTTGCTGTCACCGACCATTGTTGTTGGCTAAAAATTGCTTTTCTTTGCAACTGATGGACTTTAACTTTTCAGTACTCAAAGACGTAAGACGCCACTAAAAGGCTTCCATGTTTATCTTTTTTCAAATATTTCACGAGTCCCACGGTATTTGATATTTCACCAATTGTAATCTAATTGTGTTTTAATTGTAATTGAAGGGGAACACTTTTAATCTTTTCAGCAAACTTGGTGCTCTTAGGCCCCAACGTATACGTACTGATGCGCCACCTCCGTGTCTCTATATTTGAAATATTAGATATATTTGTTTAATATTAGACACGTTAGACTCAATTATATCAGACACAATGACTATATATATATATATATATATATAAATGTAATCAGCACAACGGATATTATTTAATAATTTCCATGGTGTAAAGAGATTGTGATTATTTGATGTTAAAAGCGTCCAACAAATGATATCTAAATGAGTGGGGGCTGTCGGGCTCAGCTCTTTAGAGATAATTTGGTTATTTTTGCAATGATTTCAGTAAAACTTAACACGAAGTCGAATGAGTTCATTTAAGCTTTACGAAAATTAAAAACTGACAGAGTATGTTTTACGGTAGACATATACCATAGCCCCAAGCCATATTACAATGACTAGCCAGTTTCAATATAATTTATCCCAGTCCCACGCCTGATTGGGACATTCTTATGCGTTGTTAATATACTATCTAAGCGGTTGAATATTGCTATATCTATCTATACATTAATTTGGTATCAAAGTGCGGTTAATAAAGAATGGCCATGTCGACGATAGCTCGCTTAATTTGCATCACTGAAGTGTCTGTCGAAATATTTGGGGATAAGCGTGGTAACTAGTGGGAACGGTCTTCAATCGTACAACACCACCAACAAAAATAACTTCAGAATATTGTCTACACCTCCGAGCATCATAACTTGTGACTGGCTTTGGATGGGTAATTTAGCGAACCACTCTCGAGAATGACGATACATTTTAATGAAAAGCAACTTCTGTTAACTCATATCCGTCGTGACAATCTTTATACTTTGTGGCACATGCGATAAGTTATATCTTCGGGTTTCCTGTTAATACTAAGTTATTATCAAAATTTTGTACGTTTCATACCTTCAATCACCTCAGGTTTATGCCTTTAATTGCTATGTACTTTTGTATTCACTGTCAGATAAGTCTATCGTAAAAGATTGCGCAGCTTCATGTCGACTCTTAGTTCAATATTTGCTCAACTGATCGCTTTGAGATGACACGTCGCCAGCAACCATACACACCTTTGTTGTTTGGTGAAGATTGGCATATCTTTAACACCTTGATATTTTTGCACACTTGACTGATAAACCAATAAGCCGACTATAGTATACATGAGAGTGGTTTCTTCGCACGATTTATTAGCTCTCATAAATTCATTTACTTTAATAGAGATTACACATATGTAACAATATAAACGCAGCTTTATATTAAAAATATATTTATGCGTGAACTTTTTTTAAACGTATATATATATATTTCAAATCGATGATGTAACAAAATAATAACAGATACATAATACTACACATGAAGTAATTGCACTTGTCACACATTTGTAAATTTGAAGATATCGTATTTAATATTAAAAGATTATCACCTGAAAATGATCAAGATAAAAATAGCAGCGAGTAACTATTACATAAATAAGTATGCCCATATAGATAGCATCACCAACAATGCGTTGCTCCGATAAGATAATGATTCTATTATTATAATACTAATGTATAATATTCATTATTCAAACCATTGTTTTCGAAATCTGCCAATCAGATTTATCATTTTATGGATGTGAAGAGATGGGAAACTGAGATTGTCATCAATTTAGCATTATAAAATATTATAATTGCTCGAGATGGTATACTTTATCCCCGACACTAATTTTACCTGGTTTAATATTAACAAAGTCCACAGTAAATGTTGGTGAATTTCCATATAAAGGTTTCTCCTCGGGTTTACGTATTCGAAATGTTGAAAGTGCCTTTAAAGTACTCAGGTTTTCATCTTTGATTCCAGTTTCGGGATTAACTGTAGTGATGGGACAACGAGTACAATGTTTCGCAAAAACAAATTCAGCTGATCCAATCTTTATTCTTTTCCAATTATCTTCAGCAAATGCCGAACATCCTGGATTTTCACAGATGAAGAATAAAAATAATTCGAATAGGCCAGTGAAATTCAAAACCGAGAGTATATTCAATTAAACTAATATAGATAATACTTCTAAGCTAAGTATACTGCACAGTCTCTACATAAGAATAATAACTGGAGCGCCTTCATGATCTAATAAAAATCAGCAGAAAACAAAATAATTTTTACCTTTCAACAGAATATTTGTCCTGAAGTTCCTCTCTGTAACTTGATGATCACTGTCCAGCTTAGTGTTGAGCAAGTCGAGCGATGCCTGAGATAATATGTTAAAAGGAGAAAAGTTCTGGAAAGTAGATTTGGTCGTTTTTTCTGAGTACACACCAAGATGTCCAAATTCAAGAAGTTTGGTTCCTTCCCTGCTTGGTAGCTGTTTATTATGAAACACTAAACGTGCCGTATTTTCCCCAGTAAACTCTGCCAGCCACGCTGCTGCTTCATCGCCACAATCCACTCCCGGGCCACTTGTACCCCAAACTTTGTAATTCAGAACCTTTTCACTGCCATGGACAGGTATTACCATTTCAAATGTTTTCATTCCAGGAGCTTCAAGTTGCAACTTGTTTTTTCCAATTGCTGATGCCTTTATTAAAACCATTTGTGGGAAATGACGTATTGTTGTAAATCGACCATTATCATGTACCACCATAAAAGTTCTGTCGCCAATATCGGAGTTACTCAACATAACACTTTTCTCTGTAGCCTCAAAACTTTCAACAGACATTCCTCTACATGATTTTACAGGATGTACAAAAAGTTTGTCCACTATGGCCACTTCTTTCCAATTTGAAATACTTTGATGCTTCTTTTTCCACACCAAGTAAAGGATTGAGCAACTAATTGCCACTGCAGTGGCAAACACAACTGTTCGCAAATCATTCATTTTATACTATGCTGACATTAGCGGTAAGGCTATGCTGTACTGTCGCAAATGAATAATAACCGTCGACCTCCACTCGCTTTACAAAATACAAACAAACATGATGTAGGATTACTAAATCTTAGTCGCCACGGTTCGTTGGGTTCCGAGAATGCGCTTACTTAGCAACAAAATCCCACCCATGCGTCTCAGTATGCTAACTTCGATCATAATCGATTTCTTTCGCCGTAAAACAATAATCGGTAGAATTAGACTATATAACTTTGATGTTATTTTATACTGTTCCCATCCCGCAGTACACCGGTATGTATGTGTTTATTTACTGGTTTGCCAAAATCAATAAATTCTCTCGCTCTTCTATCAGAATTAGCGTTTCTATGTTGAACCACTTCCCATACTCAAGTGCAACTGAAGAAGCTCAAAGTAGATATTTCATGGGTGCCAAAACATTTGACTATCAGTATTGTAAAACAAACTTTACTTCTTTACGTGAACACTGAGGTTTATAAATCCCATACCGGTAAATGTTAAGATACCACCAAAATTGCTTCAAGAACATACAATAACAAGTCATATATATGGACGGATAAATGATTACGGTCAAGTATTACGGACAACAGAAAACAGGTAGATATCTTGGTTCAATTGATCATTTTAAAGTAATGCACATTGGGGGCTCAAACAAGACAATGGATATTTGAAAAAAAAGTAAAATGTTCCGAAATTGTTGCAACTTTGTCATTATCTCAACATCACCAAAAACCAACTCAACATGTATATATTAAAAAAGTTTTTTATTCGTTAAACGAAATGTCCCATCGCACATAATAGCAGGCGATTCGCAGCTATCATTAGAAGTTAAAAGTTTGATGGTCGGATATGGAAAATAGAAATGTCTGTTAGTCCTAATGAACAATCACGCGTCTGACAGAAATATAACGATGTGCCCTGTGATAAAATAGATATGATTTAAGAGGAGATAAGTAACCAGTTTTGTTTCCAACATATTGTCAATGAATCAAAAATAAGTTAACAGCCATTTTCTGTACCTTAAATTCAAATGGCAAATCAAAAAAGCCAGACTAGACTGTTTTGCAAAATACGGATAAAATAGAAATTTCATAATGATATTGGAAAATTTTTAGGAGAGCATTTTACTGTTTTCGATCAAATTTCACAAGAACCTTTTTCTTGACAATATTCCAAACTTAGATATTCTAACTCACTAATTATTATTTGTTTATTTACCATGTATTTATGTCAAAAAATGCACACTAATCGCCAGCCCCTCCCCCCCTTTTTTTTTGAAAACTGAAAGAGTCGCCAATAACGCGTGCAATTGCCTGCTAAAATTGCCGGTTGTTTTCACCGGCGTGGCATGTTATTTAGGCCGTGAACGCCTCCACATTGGTGTTTATTCTCTCTAAATCATAAATTTGTTGAACGATAACAGTGATAATTATTTTATTTTCGTACTTGCACCAAATTGTGAAGTTATTATACGTTCATTGGCGGCGAGATTCTAAAGACAAATGTAGGAGTAAATGCGCGATCTAAATTTTTGATTGAAAAGACGCCATATAAAACACTAAAAATAAAACCATAAACAATATAAGTTTTCTTGAGTCCCGCGACAGTCGAAAAAAGTTTCCTTGGCATTGAAAATCGCAAAATTTTGTGTGTCTACGGCACACATTATGTTTGGTGGACGTTCAGAAACATACCGTCACTAAAATCAAAACACTGTTAATTGTGGGCGGGATTTGCCTTTTTATCCATTACTTTTAAATCGTCGTCGAAAATTTTTGTGTTCTCATTAATTTGGAAACACGACTTTTTCCCGGTTTGTGATGACATATAAAACGAGAATATCGGTCAGAGACCGAAGAGTTATCGATCGAAAGTTAGGGGATCCCCAAAACAGCGCTCTTACGCCATAGTGACACCTTGTGTCCCATCACTAATTAATCAATAACTTGCTAATTATACGACATAATTCATCCATAATCAATAGGCTTTTGGTACGACATATGATGAATGTACATGCAGAATCTGGAGCAGATTCAATCTCGCTTTCGTGAGATATCGCGTGCATCTAACAGACAGACAGAAAAATACCTATCAACATACTTACCGATCAAAATCGATAAGTAATAACTAATCTGAAGTATATTTCATCAATTTTTATTTTGTACTGAAACAAATTTTATTCCACGTGAATTTACAGCAGATTCACGGATTTTTTGAAAGGTTTTATCCTTAAAAATAATCGGAGTGGCAGAATTGCGATTGAACGGAGTCAGTGTTACAAGTACATCTCAAATTTGTCGAATTCGCAAAATAGCAAAAATACGTATCAAAACAAAATACGAGAATATCGGTCAGAGACCGAAGACTTATCGATCGAAAGTTAGGAGATCCCCAAAACAGCGCTCTTACTCCATAGTGACATCTTGTGTCCCATCACTAATCAATTATTACCTCGCTAATTATACTACATAATTCATCCAAAATTAATAGGCTTCTGGTACGACATATGATGAATGCTCATGCAAAATCTGGAGCAGATTCAATCTCGTCTTCGTGAGATATCGCGTGCATCTAACAGACAGACAGACAAATATCTATCAACTTACTTACCGATTAAAATCGATAAGTAATAATCGGGCTGGTCACATTTTTATTTTTATGCCTGCGGATTGTCGTGGTGTTTTAAAGTGGCTCTTGTTTTGTCGACGCAACCGCAGATTAAATTGAAGACTATTGAATTTAACGGAAGACATTTTAAATTTGCCCGTATCAGTCATGGATTGATGACTTTACACCGAAGAGAAAAAGCATTTTTCACTGAAAAGTCGGCTCTTTTAACGAGGCCACTGTTCAGCGTGGATTTCGAGGCGGTGAATTTGTATTTTTGATTTACTGGTATACGGTATTTTATATCAGATATCGAGATTTTACTAACGGCGATAACGAGTTCGCAAGATTGCAAAAGTACGTATCAAAATTGAATACATCAGGCAGCATATCTCATATTTTTATGTCCACGGATCGCCGTGGTATTTTACTGCAGTATTGTTTTTTTTTTGACGTAAGAAGTCGCAACCGCGAGATACCTTGGACACAATAAATTAATATATAAGGGCATTTCAGAATCTCATAGTTGTCACGGATGGAATATTTTACCGACAAAAATTCATTATACCCTGAAAAAGCGGTTCTATCAACGAGCGCGTCATCGTGGCGACTGTTACAGAGGGCACTGGGAATTTCCGATTTTAAAACTCCCTCTTTTGAAAATCCTGGCTGCGCGCCTGATTACGTGGTACTGAGAACGCCGTAATTTTGCATCAGGTTAAAAGGAAGTTATAGCGTCCTGTGTTATTATTTTGAATAGTATGCTAGTTCTGATACACATATATATATATAAACTATATTGAAATCAGCATATATGGTCATGGGTAGGGTTACCATATTTTTTTGACTTCAAAGCCGAAATCGAAAGTTAGGGGATCCCCCAAAACAGCGCTCTTACTCCATAGTGACACCTTGTGTCCCATCACTAATTAATCAATAACTTGCTAATTATACGACATAATTCATCCATAATCAATAGGCTTCTGGTACGACATATGATGAATGTACATGCAAAATCTGGAGCAGATTCAATCTCGCTTTCGTGAGATATCGCGTGCATCTAACAGACAGACAGAAAAATACCTATCAACATACTTACCAATTAAAATCGATAAGTAATAACTAATCTGAACTATATTTCATCAATTTTTATTTTGTACTGAAACAAATTTTATTCCACGTGAATTTACAGCAGATTCACGGATTTTTTGAAAGGTTTTATCCTTAAAAATAATCGGAGTGGCAGAATTGCGATTGAACGGAGTCAGTGTTACAAGTACATCTCAAATTTGTCGAATTCGCAAAATAGCAAAAATACGTATCAAAACAAAATACGAGAATATCGGTCAGAGACCGAAGACTTATCGATCGAAAGTTAGGAGATCCCCAAAACAGCGCTCTTACTCCATAGTGACATCTTGTGTCCCATCACTAATCAATTATTACCTCGCTAATTATACTACATAATTCATCCAAAATTAATAGGCTTCTGGTACGACATATGATGAATGCTCATGCAAAATCTGGAGCAGATTCAATCTCGTCTTCGTGAGATATCGCGTGCATCTAACAGACAGACAGACAAATATCTATCAACTTACTTACCGATTAAAATCGATAAGTAATAATCGGGCTGGTCACATTTTTATTTTTATGCCTGCGGATTGTCGTGGTGTTTTAAAGTGGCTCTTGTTTTGTCGACGCAACCGCAGATTAAATTGAAGACTATTGAATTTAACGGAAGACATTTTAAATTTGCCCGTATCAGTCATGGATTGATGACTTTACACCGAAGAGAAAAAGCATTTTTCACTGAAAAGTCGGCTCTTTTAACGAGGCCACTGTTCAGCGTGGATTTCGAGGCGGTGAATTTGTATTTTTGATTTACTGGTATACGGTATTTTATATCAGATATCGAGATTTTACTAACGGCGATAACGAGTTCGCAAGATTGCAAAAGTACGTATCAAAATTGAATACATCAGGCAGCATATCTCATATTTTTATGTCCACGGATCGCCGTGGTATTTTACTGCAGTATTGTTTTTTTTTTGACGTAAGAAGTCGCAACCGCGAGATACCTTGGACACAATAAATTAATATATAAGGGCATTTCAGAATCTCATAGTTGTCACGGATGGAATATTTTACCGACAAAAAATTCATTATACCCTGAAAAAGCGGTTCTATCAACGAGCGCGTCATCGTGGCGACTGTTACAGAGGGCACTGGGAATTTCCGATTTTAAAACTCCCTCTTTTGAAAATCCTGGCTGCGCGCCTGATTACGTGGTACTGAGAACGCCGTAATTTTGCATCAGGTTAAAAGGAAGTTATAGCGTCCTGTGTTATTATTTTGAATAGTATGCTAGTTCTGATACACATATATATATATAAACTATATTGAAATCAGCATATATGG